ATCTGTCACTAATATAGCGTTTTACCAGAACCATCTGTTCATAGGAACATAAGGCCATTGCTTTCTGTAATTATTGGCTGACATCTGTCTGTATCTTTAGTCAGTATTTAAATAGCCAAATAGCTTATATATTCCAGATTTTTCACTTGGACGTGCCCTCCTTTGGACACGCAGTAAACTGACAGGACCGTGAGGAGAGTTGAGTATGATGGTTCTGGACACCTTTAGGTAATAACATCTTCTCCCTACTTTTCTCTCTATCTCCGCTTTGCTCCTCTTCCTGCTCCTGCTTTTTGGCTTTCCTTCAACTGCTCCTCTGGCACTCTTGTGTGTAAAACAATCACCTGCACCCTAGTTATCCCCATTTGTCCTCGTTCAGCATCTTGCAGCCCCATCAACATCATGCCCTACAAAGCTGCACACTCTAGAAATCCGACGGAGCGACCAAAATTCTTTGTAACAGCGCCCGAGGGCTCCGCGCGAAGGAGGACTGTTCACGGCACAGCGGTGAGTAGCGGTTGGGAGCAGCCTGGCGAGTCGGTGCTGTTTCTGTGCAGAGTGGACACCGCCCCGAGGTGCAGTGTGTGGATGCAGGAGCGGGCGCTGGTGACATCCATCCCCCTATCCATCCCACCAGTCTTGAATCTGGCTGGCTGGGCGGTGCTGTCCCCACACTTCCTCTCCATTTGGGGACTTTTGCTCCCCCGGAAAATTTGAGTTTGAAAAGGAAAACTATTCTTTGTTCAAGCATGTCTGGCGGCAGAACCATTGTGTGGGTGCCTCCTTACAAATAAGTACAATGCCAGCACACTTTATCTCTGAATGTAAGAAAGCCTTTGAAGGGGAAGAGGGCCTGAACTGCTACCTCTGCATTTTATTCCAATCGTCTCCGGAAGCTGGTTGAACTCTAAATGCAGTTCACTAAAAAAGCAAGAGAAAGCATTTTTGTCTGTCTAGCTAATTCCTGTCATGGTCCAGATCTTAAAATGTAGTAACGAAGTATTTTGAAAACACTAGTTAGTCACTAAGTAATTCTTGAAAGGCCATTGGGCTGTGCTATGGCCTCAAAGTTTGCAAGTGAAGAATGTAATTTGTACTTGTTATTCCTGGCAAGGTGGCTGAGCTAACGCTAATTTTCACCATGCTAGAAGTGCAGTGAGGTCACTTGTATGTCTCCAGGAATCTTTCTTCTTTGTTTTAAACTGTGTGTTATTTGGTAGCTGTTGAAAGATGTAGACATTGTTCTGTGGTCTTCAGACATTGCACTTTAGTCTTAAAGGACTCCCCAGTCAACCAGAAGATCTCTTTGCCTCTCTCTCATGGTAATAGCATGGCTCGTTTAATTGAAAAGCTGGAATCTCAATCTTAACTTCCCAGAGCAATTCTGATTTATAAAGCTGATGGACACTTAAAAGGATTTTGCTTAGACTTTTGAGGATAATTTAAGGCTTGTGAGAGCTTGATGGCTTTGCCTACAGGCAATTTTCTTTCAAGCCCTTCAGGCTTTCAGGAATCAACATTTAATTCATGATTGAGTCAGGCCTCCAGCGCTTCAAGCCGAAGGTGAAACTGCCTTTGATGTTTGGGAGGTGTTCCATAGTTAGCACACTGGTGCTTCAGAGATCCTAGCTGCGGACAAAAAGCAATGGTGAAGCAGAACAGCTTTGGCCCCAAACACTGGATACTTACTGGGTAGGGAAAAGCATTTACAAAGGCAAAATATCTTGTTACGGATAAAAACAAAAATGAACACTCCAAGAGGGAAGGATGACAGCTGACCCTTGGCCATCAGATTAAATGAGAGGGATTTGTCATCATATGATCCAAAACCTATACTTTCTTACTGGTTTTCTTTTTTTCTTTCTTTCTTTTTTTTTTTTTTCCTCTGTAGTGCCTTCCTCCTCTTTCTGTATTTGATCTACTGGGATCACAATATTTAGGCAAATACCTACTGCCAGAAAACGACTCACAAATTATTTATACCCCAGAGCTGTGCTGTGGAATTCAGCAGAGCACTTGAAAAGTGACTATGAGACTGACAGATCAAAGTTTAAATTTAATTTTCTTTTTGAAAATGTTTAATTGTGACAAAAAACTTACCAAAATGTACCATCTTAACCATTTTTAAGTGTACAACAGGTATTCACCTTGTTGTGCAGCCAGTCTCTAGAACTTTTAAAATCTAAAACTGAAACTCTAGCTATTAAACAACAACTTTTCATTTTTTCCTCCCCCAGCTCCTGGCAACCACCATTCGACTTTCTGTTTCTATGAATTTGACTACCCTGGATGCCTCATACACATGAAATCATACAGGATTTGTCTTTTTTGTGATTGCCTTATTTCACTTACCGTAATGTCCTTAAGGTCTGTTCTTCATGCTATAGCATGTGACAGGATTTCCGTTCTTTACAAGGCTAGTAATACTCCATTGTGTGTGTATCTACACATATAAGTGAGTATGTTATGTAAATACACACATGTATATATGTATATACACACCACATTTTGTTATTCTGTTCATCTGTTGATGGACATTTGAGTTGCTTCTGCCTTTTGGCTATTGTGACTAGCACTGCCCTGAACATGGGTGTACAGATAATCTCTGTACTGAAGATCCTGCCTTCAGTTCTTTTGCATGTATACTTAATTGTTGGGTCTTATGATAATTCTATTTTTAATTTTTGGGTGACTGCTATAGTGTTTCCCATAGTGATGGCACCATTTTACTTACATTCCAACCAGAAGGGTATAAGGTCTTCCACTTTTTTCACATCTTCACCAACACTTTTTTTTTTTCAGGTTTTTTTGTTTGTTTGATCATTTGTTTTAAAATACTAGCCTAATGCATGTGAGATGATATCTCACTGTGGTTTTGATTTGCATTTCTCTAATGGTCAATGATGGTGAGCATCTTTTTATATGTTTAATGGCCATTTGTATATCATCTTTGGAGAAATAGGTAATCCAGTCCTTTGCCCATTTTTCAATCTTAATCTTTAGTTTTTTAATCATAATCTTTAGTAATTTGATCTTAATATATTATGGATATTAATCCTTTATCAGATATATGATTTGCTAATATTTTCTCCCATTTTATAGGTTGCCTTCTTACTCTGTTGATTTTATCTTTTGATGCACAGTTTTTAAGTTTGACGTAGTCCCATTTGTCTATTTTTGCTTTTGTTGCATGTGCTTTTGGTGTTGTATCCAAGAAATCATTACCAAATCTAGTATTATCTGCTTCCCATTTTCTTCTGGGAATTTTATAGTTTTAAGTCTTTTAGCATTTAGGTCTTTAATCATTTTGAGTTCACTTTTGTATATGGTGTAAGGTAAGGGTTCAGCTACATTGTTTTACATGTGGATATCCAGTTTTCCCATCACCATTTGTTGAAAAGACTGTCTTTTCCCCATTAAATGATCTTGGCACCCTTGTCTAGGATCCTTTGACCATATACACAAAGGTTTATTTCTTGATTCTCTATTCTATGCCATTGGCCTATATGTCTGTCTTTATGACAGTACCATACTGTTTTGATTACCATAGCTTTGTGATGTATTCTGAGATCAAGGCATATGAGACCTCTAACTTTGTTCTTCTTTTTCAAGATTGTTTTGTCCATTCAGAGTCCCTTGAGTTTCCATATAAATTTAGGATGGATTTTTTTTCAATTTCTGCAAAAAATGACATGGGCTTTTGATAGGGATTGCATTGATTCTGTAGGTTGCTTTGGGTAGTATTAACATCTTAGCAATAAGTCTTCTAGTCCATAAATGTAAGATGTCTTCCTATTTATTAGTATCTTCTTTAATTTCTTTCAGCAATGCCTTCTAGGTTTCACCATGGAAGTCTTCTACCTCCTTGGTTAAGTTTGTTCCTAAGTAATTTATTCTTTTTGATGCTATTGTAAATGGAATTGTTTTCTTGGTTTCCTTTTCAATTTTATCTTTTATTTTAATCAATTTATATTTAAATTCATATTGTCACATGTGGCCAGTGGCTACCATTTTGGACAGGGACAGGGTAAATGCAGAGCGTTTCTGTCATCACTGGTCTCTTGTATAGTGCTGCCCTGGAGTATCTGACTCTGTTGTCTCTCTTGAGGGTTGTTTGCATTCTAAACCTAACTCTAATTGTAAAGTTAAAGTCTTTGCCCTGATGGTAAGTTATCCAGACCATTGACGTGGGCAGCTTGCTGCACATGTTCCACTCTAGCCTTGTGGAAATTGTTAACGGGAAAGATTATTGTACAGACTGTTGGCTATTAACTCAGATCAGGATGAGAATCAGGAGCACCTTTACACGTGTGGTACACCAATAGGTAACTGGGTGCAAGACCAATGGAAAGACATTTAAAAGTACTAAGAGGATAACAGTGTCTACCTGCCAGGGAGGGTGTTATCTCAAATACTGAGCATTTTTCCAAACTGTTCCTTCCTGCTCCCCTTACCTCTTTAAGATGATTAAAGGGAGGCCAGCTTTAGAGAAGAAAGAATTGGTTCAATTGCACTTTAACAGAAAGAAGACTCTGAGGATTATACACCTCATTAAATTTTCTTTCTTTTTTTTTTTTTTTTTTTTTACTATTTTTTTAATGGAGGTACTGGAGATTGAACCCAGGACCTCATGCATGCTAAGCCCACGTTCTACCACTAAGCTACACCTACCCCCCTGGATTATACACCTTTATGTAGGTTCGTTCGCAGATGCCTGTCTTATCAAGGCACAGATGATGTGATCAGTCCCCAAATCCTCCATAACACAAGTTACCCTTCCTGACTTACTTTCTCACTCAGATCTCTTTTTGATCTGACTTAAGCTAAGTTAAAATGTTTCAAGAAAAAGGAAGAAATGTGACGTGAGGAACTTAACCGCAGAGTCCCTTGGGAAGAGCCCTGGGCCTTCCACTCTGGGGATTGATTTGCCACAGGCATAACTGCCACCCTGTACACTTAACTTGTCAAGAGGGTTCCATATGGTGGCTGCGGCTCCTGCTACCCAAGGACCGCAGCTGTTCTCTGAGGCCCATCGCCTGCCTCTGGTACCAGAGACAGAGGAAAAGGGTGGCCATGCAACCGCAGGTGATACAGAGCTGGCACCCACTTGGCGCAGCTCTTTCCTGCCCCATTCTTGATCTATTTTACTTAGAAGTTCTGGGGAAACATTATTTGACACTGGGATGTTTTTCCTCCACTTATAGCCCAGTCCATCAACTAGGATGCTACTAGGGAAAATGGAGATAAGCAATTAGAAGAGAGGCTAAAGGGAGCAAAAGGGAAGGGAAGGAAGGAGGGAGTTGCTGCTTGAGCCAGGCAGAAAAGGAGGGGACAGAAGGTACCCGCCAGCTTACTGGCCCTGAGGCCGCTCCTGCCCTCCACCCTTGCGGGTGGCTTTCCTGCAAGAAGCCCACAGAACGACAGACTGACAGGCATTCACACAGGTGCCTCCAGCAAGCATCCATCCACACCCCAGAACATTGCCAGCAATGTTCCAGATACTTGGAATGAGTCTTTCTCTTCCGTTGTGCCTTTTTTTTTTTCCTTCTCTCTTGTGTTGCCTTTACACTGTCAGTACACTTCTGGGTTTCCTTTTGCCCATTTCAATATAGGAAAGGTATAATTTCTCTGACTGAATTCCTAGTGTGCAGTCAGAGGGGCTGATGTTTTTGGCCCACCCTCGGATTTCAATTTCATCCCCAATGAAGAAGACTAAAATTGATTAAAATTCCTCACTTGAACCTGACTACTCCTTCAAGGACAAGAGGACACTAGGTGAGGAAGGACTTGTTTGTATAACATCAGCATAAAGAAAAAAAATGAATTAATGTCTGATATAGCAGACATGTAAATTAAAAAAAAAAAAAAGACTGAGCTATAGTATGTTCCAGAGTGGAAAAAAAAAAAAAGAAAATTGCTAAGGAATGAAAAGAGATAAAGGTAGGGGGAATAAACTAGAAATGACCTTTATTTTGACATTTGTATGGGCTAAACCAGACTATGAGAGATTTTGCTCCAGGTAATTTTAGAAACAAAGTACTATACAAAGTAAGTGCTTTCTAAAATTGCGCTTTTGTTTTATTTTGTTTTACAGATATAAGTCTAGATCATATGTCCAGAACCTTCTTATTAGGTCAAATTGTGTTAATTCATTTCTAATGTTCAGTTTTAACCTAATAGAGGCCTTTTGTTGGGTGGAATGGATATATATGTCAGAGATTGGAAATTTTCCAGTCACTGAGTGGATTGCAGCTCCACTATTGAATACTGTGAATGTGTTTGTCCCGCTCATGGAAAAATCTAATTATTGTGTTTCTCTGACCTCAGGGCTATAAAAGAGAGAGGGAGAGAGAAAATGTACCCTTCCACCTCACATCCAGCTTCCGAAGGGCTCTATCTCCATCTCATCCCAAAGCCAGGTCTCCAGCTTCCTCCGACTTTGGTGAGTGAAATGTAAGAGGCTGGCTGGGTTGTTCCACGTTGGAGAATTGGTAGCCTGTGTCCTCTGAAAGGAAACTGTTCTCCCCACACTGTTTAGCCTTCACTTAGGGAGTAACGTTTTTCCTTAGAGGCAAGAAAAAAGAAAACTGGAATGAGTCTCTAAAGTGAGTATTTTTGAGTTTGCCACATGACACATTCGCCTAGTTCAGTGTGTTCATTTCTCTTCCCTGTTGGCGTTCCAGGACTATTACATGGTAGAGGCGTGGGGAGAGGAAGGCTCAGGCAAGCCCGTTCTAATGTGGCCCTTCTCTTTACTTTCTTTGTGGCCCAGGCTCCCATCCAAGTCCTTTCCCCATTTGCCTGGCACACCCAGACCAACCTCTGCGTCTCCTGGATCAGTCAAAGCTGCCCCTGCTCAGGTCCGGCCCCCCTCCCCCGGCAACATCCGCCCCATCAAGAGAGAAGTCAGAGTGGAACCCGACAGAAAAGACCCTGAGAAAGAACCTCATAAAGTTGCCAACGAGCCCTCACTGAAGGGCAGAACACCTTTAGGGAAGGTAGAAGAAGCCACAGTTGAAGAAGGGACACCCGTCGAAGCAGAGGCTGCCCCTGGTAGGAGGCGGCTGGCTCACGGTGGGCGTGGGTTGCTCTCTACTCACTCGTACTTTTTCTCTCGCACAGCTTTTATTTAGCTTGTTCCTTCTTTCATTTTTTTTATTTTTAATTTTTCCTTATTGAGGGCTTGGAAGTTTTGCGTGTCCAGAAGGGCCAATTTGGGGACCTTTATTTGAGTATAATTTTCTTATATATATGAAGAAAGAATTGTACATCCAAAAGTATATTGTCAGAGCCACAGCATATTAATTCAGGTGTGGTTTATGATTCCTTTTATTGACCGAGTCCAGTGTTTGACAAAATGTGGTATTCAGAGCACCTGCATCAGAATCACTTGTGTTAGTTATCTCTTGTTGTGTAACAAATTATCCCCAAACCGTGCAGCTTATAAAACAACGAAGTTACTATATCAGGCAGAGTCTTAGGTCAGGAGTTCAGGAGCAGCTTAGCCAGGTCGTCAGACGATGGCTGTCAGCACGTGGTCTTTGTTTCCTGACACGTTAACCTCTCCAGAGGATTGTTTGATGTCTTCACAGTCTGTCCGCTTGCTCTTGCTAGCGTCCCCCAGAGTGAGTGATCTGGGAGAGAGAATCATGAGGAACCCACAGTTATCTTTTATGCCTAGTCCCAGAAGTCACACACACACACACAGAAGTCACAGTTTCTGTCACACTGTTCATCAGAAGCAAGTCACCAGGTTCAACTCACACTCAAGTGGAGAGGATTAGTCTCCACCTTTTAAAGGGAGGATTTTCGAAGAATTTAGGCAAATATTTTTAAACCACCACATCTATAATATTTCAAACTATAGAACCCTGGCTCTACGTCAGACCTACTGAATCAAATAAATAGTGTATCCAAGGACTCTGGGGGATACTAGGCTCGTCTGTTGACTCCTGTGCAGGACTGTCACATTAAATTAGAGTGGCCAGTTACCCTCTGCATATTGGAGTTTAAGGACCACTGGCTCACTTAGCCTGTGTGCTTGACAGAGATCAGAATTTTTTCCAGAAGACCCAGTGGATCTCATCTCTACCAGGCTAACCAGGTGCTATTTAGATGTTTAAAATCATCTGGAACTAGAAATTCAATATATCCTGTTGCAAGTTGTCTTCATTCCAAAGTTTCTCCTTAAGACTTAATTTGAAGTTAGAAGGTGGGGCAAAGATAGAATAGATGACTGAAGACAAATGATAGTGTTGTTAGGGAATGGAAGAGTCCAGTGTTTGTTTGCATGAAGTGAAGAAGAAGAGAAAGGCCAGAAGGTGTCCTGAGAGCAAAGAAAGATGTGTGAGAGCAGAAGGAGAAACAGAAACCTTGAAAGGAGGGTCTGGAGTGGTCAGGTACCAGAGATTACACATCACCATGGGCCTCTGTAGGGCTCCCTGCTACATCAGCCCTGTGGGTCATTTTCCAGAGTCCAAATAAGGTCGGAGAACTCCTGCTTCTATCTCACATCTTCGCATGAGGCCTAGCAGTGGAGCCCCGTGTTGTATAAGGAATACAGGTGCGGGTTGCTGAAGAGACCCTTGGCTCTGCCTTCCTCAGACTTGGAGACGGCTCTGAGTAGACAAAAGGGACCATCTTCCCAGCCTGAATCTGGGCTCCTGTTACGGGCACTGGGAATGGTCACCAAAAGCCTTGAGTCCACTAGTGATGAATAGTCACTAAAGAAAAGGAATTTTTTTTAATGCAATGAAAGGCAAATGGAAGATCTCGTCTTCTTTTTTGCTGGGGGTATAACTTCCCACAGAACCTAACGTGAGGTTCTATACTCAGTACACATTTGATATATGTTGTTAACTGATTTAACTTGTATAAAAATAAGACTTGGTGACAGAGTGTCAGCTTCGGATGTCTCACTTACACACGCAGCTTTGTGTTATCCGTTGCCCGGTGACAGACAGAATACAGTGAAACCGTGAGAACACGCAGTGATAAACGTTCCCTTTTCTTTTATAATGTTGAATTCTAGGCCTGGGGAGTGGGGAATGCTCGTTTTTGTCTTGTTCTTTGGCTTTTGTTTCCAGTCGGTTTCTTCTTGTACCTGTTTGTACAGCTGCTCCAGC